TATATATATATATATATATATATAGTATTTTTTCTTTTCTTCCAGCCTGAACAGTAATTTTCTAATGAAAGAAAAGGACAAAACAAAAGTGTTGTTTTTTGCACAAATATTTACTTATAGAAAACCTCCGCTTTTTCCAAGAAAAAATCGTCCGCTTACATCGCAGTGCCATCATCATTATAAACATTGATTTTAAACTTGCTAGTCTTGAAGAATTATCTTCATACTTAATTAAACAAAAACGAAGAAGTGAAGAAAAAACATTTTTTGCCCTTTTATTTTGCTCTAAAATAAAATTGTCAGCTTATTTTATATTACATAAGTTCATCTTGTTAACTGATAAAAAATACAGGTCTTTCGATTAAAAACCTTAATTTGATTTGTAACTTTCGCTGATCAGGTATCAAGCAAAATGATGATTTGAATTCTAAATAACATTAGGTTTTTAAATCATACAAATGTCTGCATTAATTTGACTTCGTCTTTTCCTTTAAAAAGTGAAAGTTAGCTTTTTCCTCAGCAATCGAAAAAAGAGTAGACTAAAGCATAATGATTTTCAAATAGTTAATTAAGTCATTTTATTCAATAATATAAAGTTCGAACTGATCTTTTCAAACCGTAGCTTATCAAACTAATCTGCTTTAAACCTGTAAATGGCATGTTAAATCTGTAACGTGTAAATTAGGTCCGTGCATTTTTTTGAATTAAACCACCCAAACGATTTTATTGATTTCAGAATGTTACCTGTAAAGGTAATCATATTCTCGCTCTTAATATTTACGATTAAGGGCCAAGAGTCAAGCCCTTCTACCCTAACAGCGAATGAAGCTCCGACTGCAGGCCCAACGGACGGCTCCATGCAACAACCTGGTAATAAAATTTTAGCTTGTAACCTTTTGACTATTTCGATTAGACTCCACTGTTGGGGCTTATTAATGTAAGACCGCTTTTCATATAACAAGGCAAAATTTATTGATCATAGGTTTAGAACCATCCCAGGAATCAGTATGGCTGCCTGAAATGACTATTACCGACGGAGTCCCAGGAACATCACAAGAACAACGATTGGAAATGTCTCCGTTTTTGCCTGCGGAACTTTCACAGAATTCAAATAGATTTGAGGGTGATTTAAGACAACCACCTCCTATGCCACCACATCATGGCGAATTTAGAGATCAGTGTGGCCCATGGCAGCCTTGGGATAATGTTACTTGCTGGTGGCCATCCACGTCATGGGAGCAGTTACCTCAGTCATGCAAATTTCTACCGATACCAGAACAACTTCCGCCTGTACTAAAATCGGTAAGAACGTCTTTCAGAAATACTTTCAACAAAAAAATTTGTCATAATTTGAGGAACATATTTAAAAAGATTCAAAAGTGTCCTAGAAATTGCCACATATTGTTAAGCTGATTAAATTTAATTATTTTACAGCTTATTGAAAGCAAAATAAGGGAAAAATACAGTGCACTAGTAGCTGAATATCAAAAACGAGGTTCCCCGCCACTGTGCGGTCACTGTGCCAGAAGTTTTGCTTGTCGTGCTAGGAATGAAACTGGTTCGACACCTGGAATTAGACCGCACTTTTGCAGGTAATCAAAAGTATAACTCTATTAAGTTCAGAGATTTGAAACAGCTTAATTAGGTTTTCGCTTTAGAAACTCTTCTAGACCACACTTCTTTTACTCGTTACGATAATTAAAAGAATACCAAAACAACCAAATAAGTAGACCTCTCACCTTGAAAACTGATTGGCTTTGTACTTCCTCCTATGCATCAAAATATTTGAACAAGCACATCTTTGTATAAACCTTTGCATAAATTTTCTCACAATTGATACTATTTTCGGAATCATGTAAAACAGGAAAAAAAAATACTGGCATATTCTCCTCACTAAAATTTCATCGTTCAATATATGTTGCTGGCAAAATAAATGAATTCCGAACTTTTATCGGCAGTGCATTAAGAAGTGATATCAAAAAACACTTTCTATTGTAAATATTGTTAAAAAATCAAAAGTGCCAAACAAACAAACTTCCTATACACATGTTCTTAATGCTGCTGTAAAATTCTTGTACTTCTACATTGTTTTTTCTTTTTTACTTTCCTCCTTAAATTTCTGCTTCGGTCTTAACTCATTTCTGTCACACCTTCTTACCAGCTGCAAAAGTCAAACCATTTTAGAAGAAAAGAAGTTGTACCGATTACTGCTGACTGCAACGACACTCAGGCATGTTCTCTAACACTTGAAGAAGGAACTTGCCCTCCACCGTTATTCTTAAGCAAAAAACTGATCGAGAAAGTCAACAAACTTATCCGAATGCAAGATGATGAGGCGCGTTAAAGTTTCATGAAAGTTAATTTGAAAAAGTCTTAATTTTACCAACAAAGTGGTCAAAAATTGGCAAAGTATTTCAGGGAGCTGCAGAACTGCTATACCGAATGGGACAGCCAACTGACCAAGACAGTGTGAGCTTTATGAGCATGCAGGCAGCAGCTGCGAGTGAAATTGTTCCAAACATACGATTCAAAAGGCAATCTTACTACAGCAATAGGTTACTGTTAATTAGCGTCTGCAATTGAAACAAGAAACTACTGATACCTGTGATAAAAAAAATGGTTTATATTAAAGCTTAGCTTATCCACCAGTGACAGAAGAAAGTTATTTTAGATCCTTAATGGAACATTTAATTTAATTATAAAAACTAGTTATGTGATTATCAATTTCAACATTCCAGAGATAAGCAATATGGTGACTTCGACAATTTCGATAGCGGAAATCACTATACAGACCTGTTTGACAAGGAGCGAAGAGGTCCACCTCGAAGACCCTGGGAAAGGGATAATGAATTTGGACCTGATGGAAGAGAACCCGATTTTAGGCCAAAGGAGAGGGAACATGGCCATGGATTTGGCAGAAGAAGGCCTGATTACGACCCAGATGAACGCGGTCGTGGATTTGAGCCTGACAGAAGACGGCCTGATTTTGGACCCGAGGGAAGAGGCCACGGTTATGGACCTGAATTTGGGCCGGAAGGACGAGGTCGTGGATTTGGGCCTGACAGGAGAAGGCCTGATTTTGGACCAGAGGAGAGAGGC